GCGTAGCATTAGCATCTTAGCCAGCTTGGAATGAAATCCGTCATTTCACCTGTCAGTCCAGAAACGGGTATTGAATGATGATAGTGTCCACCCACCAACTCGTACATGTTTTTAGCCGGTCCGAGAAATCCTTGTTTGTTTGGCTGTCTGCCAAGTGATATATTCCGACGAACTTCATTATGAAAATCGAGAAATATTGTTCTTGTCCTGTCACTTTGAGTCAGACTTCGTGGACAGCCATACCCTTAAACATATGGTGTATTACAGCTAAAAACTCGTACATGTTTTTAGCCGGTCCGAGAAATCCTTGTTTGTTTGGCTGTCTGCCAAGTGATATATTCCGACGAACTTCATTATGAAAATCGAGAAATATTGTTCTTGTCCTGTCACTTTGAGTCAGACTTCGTGGACAGCCATACCCTTAAACATATGGTGTATTACAGCTGAAATGCGGGTATCGGAACTGTAGTGTTGTTTAGGGCTAAAAGTAGGAGTGCAGGGCACCCTGATAGCTTCTGGGCACCACGGTGTGGCTTTCCTTCATGGAGGACATCGATCCTGGACCGTTGTTGTGAAATTTTCTCTGATTCGCTAGCACGTACCTGCTTTAGCATATGGGCACACCAGCGCCTGAAAAACGAGTGTAACCTGTGGTTCTACCAGTACCAATGTGAAGGTCCTGGAAAACCTTCGGGAAATGTTTCACATGGCAGCAAGTTTCAACTCACCAAGAGGAGGAAAGCAGCAGTAGCCAACATGCGACGTGGCTTCGAATAGCTGTGTCCAGGGCATTTATATAGCTGCACTTCATGAATGCTTGCTTTCGAATCTTCGTGGCTCCATAGTCTGCCTGTAGTCAGACGAGCCTACGTCATCAGAATTCAGAAAAAAATTCAAAATCCGTCACTGGTACCTGCGTTTGAGGTCTTTGGCTTGATTTGCTTTCTCCTACACTTATGGTCGAAGTTCTATACCGACCACAATCTTGAATCCCTTACCTAAATTTACAATTTGATTTTATTTAAGCCTTTGATGATCCATAGTAATTTGCGCGACGTCATGACAAGGCAGACTGTTGGCCACCCTTTCCTTCGTTTCAAATGGGACCAGGTGATCCTAGTGGTTCCTGTTCAGGTAGAGGCTCGATGTTGGTGAGCTGCAGACAAGCTGTTCGAGCCGTTTTTTGTGGCTGCCGCAGGGGATTCCAGGTGTAGAATTTGAGACCCCAGACAACAACGTATTACAGGTTACGTATTACATTACAAGGTTTTGTGCCCGCAGTAGGTGACCTTGACGACTGCTCGTTATAACAGATTACTTTGTGATTGAATATCTAACTGCATCCATCTACAAAATAAAACATCAAGAGGACTGTCCAGCAGTCCCTTTTCTGTGCCTGGTTGAAACCTGAAATCAAGTAGATTCTAGGCTTCAACCAAGCAAACAAAAGGAGACTGCCCGCAATTCACTTGCCTCTTGGACTCCTCATCCATCTTGTCATGAAAGTGTTCAAAGGTGTAATTCATTGTGAAAGCAGAAGGCAAGACGATTGCGTGGTCTGCCTTATAAGGGGGGCTCTTTCAGAGCATAGCCGCCGCTTTTTTCCAAAAGGTTTTAAATTGTTAGGGACGCATAGGGAAACACAACCATGTTTCATTTCGCCTGATCGGTTTTTAGCTCAAAAAAGCACAAGGTCCTTTAATTGTTTGGTCCCCCCGACGACTCAGCGGATTTTGGCCATTTGTCTGGCGCCTACAGTTTGTGGCCACCTAAGGCGTTCTTGTTCAAATCAATTGTCATATACCTTCGTCGCGGACGTTTTGAAACCAACCAGGATTTGCCTGCCTTTGTGTTCCCAAAATTTTTACTTCTTAGGGGATCTGAACTTAAAGTGGTGTCATTCCACACTTTTTTGGCACTTTATTGCTAAATACAGTTCAGTCGAAAAAGGCAATTCATGTTTTTGTGTCCTCATATTAAACATTAGTCGCTCGTTACAATATGCAAGGAGCCGCTTCCAGAAAGCGCGGCTTGCCTTGAAAGACCTTCCTTGTTAAACTAACGTGCTTCTGTGGCCGTCACCGTAATAACTTCACTCCCAATTTCAATTAGGGAAAAGACCCACTGCTTACCAGGGAAGAGAACGAGCGCTCTTGCGACCCCAGCATAACAGGTTAAGTAGCGTCGGTACTTTACGATCCAATCCGCTCCGAAACGAATTATACGAAGTTATACGAATCTGCCACACCTGCCTAATCGATGGAGCTCTGATCAGCGCTGCTATTCATATGAAGCTGCCTCCGAAGCTTCAATGGTTCCGTTGGAAAAAGTGTTGTACGAATGTGAGCAGCCTCATAATATTGTCAAAATGAAACATTTAGGTGTCCGGAACTAATTGCCTTTGGTCGAAATTGGATTCGTCATGAGGTATCTGAATAAATTTCCAATGACGATGTTGGTTTTAACCGCAGTCCGCTCGAATGAATGACAATTCCTGAACGAATTCAACTGCTTAACAGCCGATGTCCAGACTTTGCGAAATGTGGATACGAGCCGTTTGCATCCAGCAAAGATAGAGCGATTCCCACGCGACCAAACAGTAATTTGAAAGTGCGGGACTCACGTTTTAGGAAGTTCGCTTGTAAAGAAACACACTGTTTGAAAGGCGGGACTTCCTTCAGACGCTGGATGCCCGCCCACTTCCAAACAGCGAAAGAGTCAACTGAGTACCGTGATCCGCTGGCACAGCTCGATCCGCTGGTACCCAATGTACGCTTCGCAAAAGTTTGATTTCATCGCCTACATGAGTAATGGTGCATGCCGCAAATTGACCTACAAATATGCCATTTATTAAAACTGCGCTGCATCATTAGTCCATTTACTCAGAACTTTTCTGATTTAACTGAGGGTCTAGTCAAGCAATCATGGTTTGAAGGTCCTGTACAATGAGATATCTTCGGAACGATACTGCCGTTTGCAGAAAAAGTGTTTTGAAAGGTTCCACACTGACCGCGCTGACCGCATCAGCCCAGCGTCGCAATGCAAGGCAGACGATACATAGCCGGGTGCCAGACCGATGCCATCCACTTTGAGCTTATACAGAGCGAAAATGGAAAGGAATGGATGGAAGGATAAAGAATCAAACCACGCAGGCTGTCCCATGCTTTCCCCATGACTCGAACTCGCAGTGCGCTGCGCCAGTGTTCACGATATAAACTGCGTTTGAACAATTCCACGCAAATTTCACTCGATTAAACCTTTGAGAAAGGATCGGTAAACGTGTTGTGTACCTCCCTCCCAAAAATGCGTCATGATCGATCCCAAGTTGCAGGTTACAGATTTTCATGCATGAAGCACAATATCAGGAAAAAACAACCTTTCAAAAATCACATTTCGCGGCCAATTCTCAGACACCTGGGCGGAGCCACGGAGGCGAACGCAGCACGTGGCCGCCCACCAACTACTTCGCAGGAAGTTCATCTCAAACTCTAGATTGGGGAGTAAAGACAAAATGTTTCAGCGCGAGAAATGGGGATGCAATAAAGGAGTGAAATGATTGATGGGGAGGTCAAAAAGATTTCGTGAAGACGGCATTCTAGGAAACAAATCGAGAACTCTTCCCCGTCAAGAGATGTTGCAGTTCAATGGGGTGAGAAAAATTCAAATGAGTCGCAGTTTTCTAAGCTTTCCGGAGTGTTTTAGCAGAACAAAAGCAAATTTTTCGTTCTTGTCGTGAAAGATAATGTAAGTTACCGATTTATAGGAAGATGGAAATATGCGGCTCCCATATATGATTGTTTTGAGGCAAGAGGAAACTTATGATGGAAATAGGTTGAAGCATCTGCATGCATCGTTGATCAATCCCTCTGTGGGATGCGGCACGCATTCTACTTCCATTTGTACATTCGTAGTGGCGTTTGATGCGATGTGGCCTATACAATGACTTGCGGGGGCCAGCCGATGTACAAGTCAGTGTTTTTATCCTCCCAGACCGTCGTACCAATTACCGCTCTCCCTTAAGGATGAAAGAAACCCTGGGCAACGCGATGACGCAGCGATCCAGGATTCGATGCCGTCGATTCGCTTCGCGTTATGAAGCGGCAACATTTGTTTACTGCAACCACTTCCCCCTGAATTATGATTTATGGTGCGTAAATGTTGATGGAGTCGCTTGGCAGCTGGCCCGCCGGCCGAAAACTGTTGCTGGACCGGGTCTTTTGCGACGGAAAGGAAAGAACTTGCATCACGAAAATTGGGAACACAAAGCTGTTCAAGGTCTCTTCACAATGGGTGATCACTTTCACATCTTATTCGCCGAACTTTCTAAAGTGCATGCGAACGTTGGCACGTAATTCCTGTGCGTGTTTCTACGGCGGCAACTCCAAAAAACCCACGAGATGGCCACACCTTACACTTTCAAATGGATACAGTCGCACTCTGACAGCTGTTCCGGTAGGCAGTTTGCATTGATTTTTGCTGGAGTATCTTCTATTTTAGGCAATGGAGTGTAGAAACTTTGCAAGTTCCCTAATGGGAGAGAGCCTTTTTTGACTCATACCTCTTGTAGTTGAAGTTTAGCCATCTGGACACTGCTTCAATACCTTCTAAATACGCGTCCCAAATTATTTTCCGTGTTTGCTTTCCGTGATCCCGAAATTAAAGCATAATTAAGAGGTGTTATCGATGAATGCCACTGCGACACTATGCTGGATATGCCTTTTTTGTGAGATGATCCTTGGTGCCGCCATCCCGCCTCGTGCGAAGCCGATCGACAGGTAAGTTCTCCGAATTTGTTCTTTGTCACTGAGCTACTCTTCAAACTCCTAATCTCTTTTTCGTTCTAATACGCATTAAATAGTCAAACTGATCGGTTTCTCAGTCATGGCTCTCCTAAGCTATTTTTGGTGGATTGAAGTTGTCGTAGTATACTTGGGTCAATCATTACGTTGGGAGATTTTCTAGTCTGAACAGCACCCCCCCCCTTCTTCGAAGGAGTGTTTATGTAGCCCCCTTCCGAGTCTTTTTGAAGTTTTCTGCGGAAGTTCTACCTACTCATCCTTCTTGTACCTACATTTTGCATTTCTAACCTCCAAAAAAATCTTTCACTTCGAGAGATTTTTCTTCACATCCCTATTGAATTCCGATGCCTATTTCAAAGAGCGTGTCTCGTGGATTCAAAAGCGGCGATTACAATCGGTTCAAGAAGTGTTTAGAAGAGACGCAGTGGTGCTCAATGGTACATCGGTGGCAAAAAAGCGGAGAAATCCGTCAAAAAACGCAAAACGGGACCCCTTTTTGGCCGTTGGTTTTCACTCATGAACAGGTAACAGCTCAGAAAGCGGACGTATGAACGAGTTCAGCGCAACGCGTTTGGTGGCACCATGCCAAACCACGCTAATCGAGTTGCTCCAGTTGTGCCGCTGCTGGCAACGCAGCTCGTCCAAATCACCAACTAAACTAGTGGGCGGATCGCTTTTGGGGGCGGAGTGCTTTCGAAGTCCTGCTCAGCAACCAGCGCACCTTTCGTCGTGAAAGCGCTACA